CTCCATGGGATCATGATCCCACTGCCCCCCCCCCATGGCCCTCAGCCCTTGCAAATGTTAAGGGATGCTCTTGGCCATCCTTGCTTTAGCATCCTGTTAGAACCAAGGTGTCGGTCATTTCAAACCAATTATCAATTTGCAAAGAATGACTTTAATTAGGCAGGTGAGGCCAGGCTATATAATACTATGGGGTGCTGATTGATTGATTGATTGATTGATACATTTATCCCACAAAGCGACTCTGGGTGGCGTACAACTATTAAAATAAAATAGTAAATAAAAACAAGCATTACAAAAAGATAAAAAGATTATTACCAGAATAAAAACATGATCACAAATTTTAAAAAAAGATTTAAAATCTAGACTTGAAAATATACAAACTCCACAGAGAGAGCAGAATATCAATCATAATGGAGCCATCTAAGAAGGTCTCCAGTTCCCAAAGACTCCTAAGCCTGATGACTCAACCAGGTCTTGAGGGACTTCCTAAAGGACAGCAGGGAAGGGGCTAGCCTCACTTCAGGGGAGAGAATGTCCCACAAGGAGGGAGCCATGGCAGAAAAGACCCACCTCCTCGGACCCACCAAATGCAAGTCCCTGGCTGATGGAACCCATAGCACACCTTCTTTGCCAGATCTAATGAATTGGGCTGATGTGATCGGGGAGATCGCCCTGCAATTTTGGCATTTCATTTCTATATTTTTGTCCCCCCTACCATTTCATAACATGATGGTGTTCCCACCAGGGTCTGTGGAAGAGTCACAAAGGCCAAGATGGCAGGAGGGTGTCATTATCTCCACTCATGTTTTACAGGATTTTTGTTATTTATTATTTCTGGTAATTTTTATGACAACTACAGCATAGGCAGGCAGGCAGGCAGGCAGGAAGTTCTCAGGAGTTGGGTTTGACTTAAGGGAGCCTCACTTCACCTAATCTTGTTAGGGTTCCTTGCTCAAAAGTAACTCTTACCTTTTCACTATTCTTGATTTGCACAGTTCTGCAAAGTAGCCCATAGGTGTCTTGATCTCTGTACTTACAGTCAGTTACAAAAAAAGAAAGAACGTTTCGCACAGGCAGCAATGCATTCTCTGTTAAACCAAACAATATGCAATGATGTTAGTGAACTGCCAAGGCTGGGAAAAGGAACATCTAGTGGGGAGAAAGAAGAAACGGGAAGGTGCTGGAAGAATCAGCAATCCCATGGACCAGCAATGGCCAACAATGGTTTCAAGCAAGTTTGCCCCACGTCTAATCCATTCACATATGAGATTGAATCACTCTAGGATGCAGCGCAGCACATTACAAGAGCGATGCAGGGAAATTCAGAAAACGGGTTCGGAGAAGAGCAATAAAGATGATCAGGGAACTATGAACAAAGTGGAAGGAGCTGAGTATTTATGTCAGTCCTTCAAGGTAGTCCAGACAGGAAACCAACACCATGAGTACTAACACCACCTTTATTGTAAGGTTACAGTAACAAAACCTTGCAAGTCTGAAAGCCCTTCTCCCCTCCCCTGCCTTGACTGTCCAGAGAACTAGGGAGGATCCGTTCTGAGATGCTTTCTCCACCCCCACCCCTCTTTGGACTCAGATGTCTCTTCTCAGACCATTGTCTAGGCTGCAGCTCTTCCTCCTCTCTCCCAAGGTTGTTCTCACAGACCTCATGACAGTTCAGCCTTGAGACAAAATAATTGGGGGAAGAGGTGAGATGGGATAGGCCTTCTTACAACATCTGCAAGGATATTCTGCAAGACCTGTTCTCCCTTGCCTCAGAGTGCAGGACATGGACTAACGGATTTAAGTTATAGGTAGCTAATTTCCAGTTTACTATTAGAAAATACTTTCTAACAGTAAACACAGTTCAACAGTGAAACCATTTCTGGTGGGCTCTCCTTCATTAGATGGGTTTGAGCAAAGGCTAAGAAGCCATTTGTCTAAGATTCTTTCGTTTGGTTTTCTATGGTTGTATATACCTCCCCATGTTATTGGAGAACCGACTCCGCCCTACTGAAACGATGGAACGAAGCAAGCAAAAATGGGTGCTTCCAGCCAGACGTCTCCTTGTGCTACTGTCAGAGCTTTTGGATAGGCAAGGTCAGGAAACTGGAACTGGTGGGATTTCGGGAATGATTTTTATTTCAGTAACAGAATCTTGAAAGCCTATCAAAGCCCTTCTCTACCTCTACTTATACTTAACAAAATCAAGGCGGAGTTATTCTGAGTTTCTTTCTCACACTTTCCTCTTTCCCAGGACTTAATTGTCTTTTGGGGAACCTTCTCCCTTAACAGGTGTGCCTTCCACTCCCCAGTCTCATAATTAGACTGTCATTCCATCAGAGCTACCGATCAAAAGACAGTGTTTTTCCCTCATTTCAGAATTTTCTATGGGTTGGTGGAGTTATCATTGGAAGATAATGATTTGATGGACCCCACATAAGATACTGATCTTGAGACAGCTCAACAGCACAACACAAGCCTTTGGGGGAAGCACCCAAGGTTTGGTGCCTATGGAACGTACTGCCCTTCTGCCCCACGTTGGCTCCTGCTGGAAAACAAAGAATCCTCTTACCGTGATCCTTACACGTGGTCTCCGCAAGGGGCTTCCTCAGAGCTCGAGATGTTCCTTGTGTACATGGTAAGCAAATTGGCCTGTGAGGGAGAAGCACCAGAGAGACATCAACTGTACCTCATCATGACTCTTGAGCTTCAGCCCACATCTTGTCTAATGGAAGTTCAGGCTGCTTCTTCCCTATGCAAAGTGGCCACAATGGTGTGAGAATTGCTTTCAAACTAAAATAAGACAGGAAGCACCATGCTGGCTGGAGAATTCTGGGGGTTGAAGTCCACACATCTTACAGTTGCCAAGTTGGAAAAACACTGACTTAAAACATACCACCCCATCAGTTTGCCTTTTAAATATGAAACAACCAACTTGTTTTTGACAATAAAAGACAGAGATAAAAAAACTCACATTTTACAGAACTACATTAAAACAAATATCTCATCTATGATTGATTCTAATATTCCTTTGAATCAGAATTGAAAGTACTCTGCCATCTCTTTCTCTCTCTCTCTTTGTCCATGCAAGATCTCACCTTGCAAAGATGCTGAACTTAACTTTTCTACCAAGTTTTATCAGGGCGACATCATAATCATAGAATTCAGGGATTCCATGATCTCGTAGTTTTCCGATGGTGTATTCAGGGTGGATTTCGATTGCAGCCACAGAAAAGTTGTCTTTGCCTAGGAAACAGGAAGATGAGACATAGACTTTCTGCTGTCTTGGGCTGCATAGCTTATCACCAGATGATGAGATCCTCAGCTGATCTCTGCCCATCGGCTACTCTGAAACAGCAAGCCAGATGTGTCTTTTCCTGGTCAGCTGACTACCCTATTAGCTTCCTATTGACAGAGAATTGTGCTTACCAATTGAGACTGTGATCTGCTCAGCTGTATCATCAATACTGAAGCAGTGAGCCGCTGTCAAGATATAGTACTCGGAAACCAGGGTTCCTTTGCAGTGCTCAAATCCTGTTCCACCAACACGCTTTGATTGGAAGAGAAAAATCACTATGAATAATTCACAAAATAATGCTATGTACATTTACTTGGAAGTAAATCCCATTCTTTTCAATAGGACTAGTCAATATTCAACATTAACTCAAGAAGAAGTGTTGTTACGTCCTCCTATAAGTGCTATTGGATAGCCTTAGGTCCACCTTACTGTACCACACACTGAGCAATGATTGCTCTCTAACAGTTGCAATCAGCTACAACAGTTTCTGCCTTTTTCCACTTTTTACAGGTCCTTGGATAACTGCTGGGTAATGCTCTTTCAAAAATCACACTAGTAGAGAATCAAGGATGTAGAAAATATATCCTGTTATTAAAGGTCTGGAAAATCTGATTGGGTTACTGAATCCAAACAAGTTTCCTATCTTTTAATAAATAGTAACTGTCTGGAGAAAAGGTAATATTTCGCCAAGGTCTTAGCCTTGAAAAAAGGGAGAGTTAATACCTGGGGTCTTCCATGGGAACAAATTGTTGGACGTGTTTCTTCTTTAAGACTTTTCAAGGGAACAAGAGACCATCCCCACCCCGCTTAGCTAAGAAAGATGGAACTCGAAGCCTATAAAAAAACAGGGGGCAGAAGGAACTAAGACAAAAGAGAAAGAAACAGAGATGAATTTTGGATGCAGAAGATGTGATCTTGCTAGCATCCACAAAAGCAGAGGGCAAAATCTCCACCTCCACAGCTTTGGAGAACTTGTATAATTTATCCAGTCCCAGGGACTTGAATTTATTCAAAACTGCTAGGTGTTCTCTCACCATGTCCTTGCCTCTTTTGACCTGCATTTCTCTTCTGTCCCCCACAATGTGACTTCTCACAAGATGGACCATTTTTATCTTCTCCAAAAGGACAGATGCCAAAACACAAATGAAGCCACTCAGCCTTCTGCCCGTTTATTTCTTCTTTTATAGACATGCTTTGTCTCTCAGGCTGATGTGAAGTGTCTTTTTTTTTTTTTTATTTTATATGCAGACTTAGATTCTCCCACTCCTGCAAGGACTTGTTGCCTAGTTTTTGAAAAGATGCACTTTAGAGCAGTGAATCTTTTATTATAAAAGTCTGAGAGAGTTTTCTGCCCACAATAATAATCATAATTGAGTCAGTCACTGCTATCTAGGTCATCCTGACTGTTTGGACATTTGCAGGATCCCAGGTTCTTAGCTCCTGCCTGCTCCCGTGGATCTCTCTGTGTCCAGCACAAAGGAAATTCACTGAGACTTCAGGGGCATTTTCATCTTAAATGATCAGAGGACTGGAAAATTCTCGTCCTTCCAGGTTCTCTACAGGCTGAAACTTTCCTGACTCCATTCCTTAAAGTTTGCTTTCTTTACTTTACTGAACTTCCTTTAGCTGCACAGGAGACTCACGCTTTCTCCTTTAAAGACCTTTTTGAATATTTACTTCAGTGGCTAGAGTTCGTAAACCTGCTGGAGGTTGAAGTGTTCCATGTGTGCAGGATAGCGTTCCTCAGGGCAGGAATTTGACCTGAGCAATGATGTGGGAAGCAGGTTTTATAACTTCACAGAAAGGAGATTTATTGACAAGAAAGATATGGTAGGGATAAGCGAAGCCTAGCACCTAGCTAACTACAGTACATCCTACCAGAAGGAGCATGTGCTCTATGTATGTGTGCTGGGAGCAAATGCAGAAGGAAGCGACATGAGATAACTATCTCTTAGACCAAGAGCAAGCAGAATTACAGACAAAGAGAGAACATAAAGTAAACCCTTAACTCTCTCTTTGGTCCCTGGTGATTGGGAGGTCATGAGCTGCTGAGTCAATGCCACTGAATCTGCATCTCCAACAAATACAGTGGCAAGATCAAGGAAAATCACCATCCCTCTCTATTCTGCATCCAGGTCTGGGCATTGCATTTTAGGAGGGACTATGACAGATTGCAGCATGTCCAGAGGTCAACAATCAAGATGATAAGAAGGAAAACCAGATGAGGAATGGATGGAGCCAATGGGCATGTTATCTTGGAGAAAATAAGACTGTAGGAAGACATGATAGCTTTGTTCAAATATGTGGAGGGCGATCATGTAGAAAACAGGGTACAATTGTTCAGAGTTCTTCCAACAGACAGGACAAGAAATTATGGGTTGGAATTATAATGAAACAGGTTTCTATTGGACAACAAGAACATTTCCAAATGGTAAGAGCTTTTCAACAGGGACACAAGGCTTCCTTGGGAAGGGGTGGACTATCCTTCACTGGAGGCATTTAGAAGCTGGATGGCCATTGGTTGGGCATGCTGTCATAGTGGGTTCCTGCACTGGGTAAAGTCTGGACTAGATGAACTTCAGGATCACTTCCAACCCTGACATTCTTT